AAAAGAGCAGAGAGATATTGTAAATACTTTTATCAGATTATTAGACCTCTCTCTTTTCCAACTCAGTCGATCTCCCCCATCGCCAGACGAGAAGCCGCGCTGATCCTTCGCCGAGTATCTCACCTCCGTTGCCACAAACCATCGCCGTCGATGACTACAAACCTCTCATCTTCCAATCTTCTGCATTATTATCATGATCGGTTCGTGGTGTCTCACCAATGACGAGGTTGAGAAGAGAGTGTGCATCACTGGTTGGATTTTTCCACCAAAGGTTAGTTCTCACCGTCGGTTCACCACCGTCTTCGATGTCACATCCACTGCACCATTCTCAAATCTCTCTATCCCTTTCCTCTCTTCTTCAGATCCACTACACCCAAACCCTCATGTTTTTGCTCTATTCCTCGTGTCATTATGTTGGGAAGGAAATGATAAAAACGAGTTTGAGAAAGTTAAAAGGCGAGATATTCAGATCTGAGAGCTTTAGATATAAAGGCAGCAATAGTCGCACCAATAAGTCCTTAGTCTGGTTCGTCATCGGTTGGTGGAAGTGGAGAGGGTACAAAATTTAAACTTTTATTTTGAATCATAATAAATTTTACTCTGATTCAGAGAAAATTGTACTTTCAGAATAAATTTTACTCAGAATTAAAGTAAAATTTATTATAATTTAAAGTAAATTTTACTCTAAAATATACTATGAGAATAGCTTAATAGAGAGCTGACAGATATGAGGATAGTATAATAAAAGAAACAAGTTTAAAAATATTAATAAGGTTTTGAAAGTACCTACATAATTCTTGTCTTCTTTGAAAAACAAATTAGACAGTGAGAGATCTATCACCAAATCCCTCAAAAATTATCACCAAAAGGAGTAGTGATTGAGAAGTAAAATAAATTTTAAGTTGTATTTGAATTATAAATTTGGGTAGAAACTTAAAAAGGAAAATAAAAATGTAGATTAAATGTAAAGCTCTGTTTGGGGATAGACTATTTTAGTTTAAAAGTAAAAATCTAACAACTCTTTTTATTTTTTTACACGTCTTTCCATAAAAATCAAAAAATCGACTTAATCTCCAAAACACCCCAAGTAAAACATAACTATATTTCATTTGTATTTTCTCACTTTTTTTTTTTCTCTTTTAAATTCCTACTCATATCATGAAATTACTTCAACTTAATTTTGAATACATAAAGCAAAAAGAGAACATGATGAAGTTTAAAAAGGGGAAGCCAAAAACAGAGTATATTTTTACATATGCAACAAACAGACCAAGTTGACAAAAATTTCACTTTGACTTGGGGTTCGATTTGGGGCTTCCTTTGTAAATATTCCTCCATTTATTTTTGAGGTCTATTGAGGTTCGACCTTTCTGAAACACATCAACCCCAAATTCCAAAATCCTCTTCCATGGGATAGTTCTATCTTGAACATGAAAATCTATTCACACCCTCCTGCAAACAATGGTAATAATTATCAATGCAAAACGTTTCCAACAAACATTAATCAAAAGAAGGAAATAAACCAGAACAACAAGCCCAAGATTGTGCTACTACTAAATCCATATGAATCCCAAGCAATGAAAGGTCAAATGTGTGAAACAATTTTTTTTTTTTTTTTGCCTCTAGGTGTAAGCAAAGTTTCCTTATTCTCACCTTGCAGCAAAGTTACCTTATCCTCACCCTTGCAGTGCTTCCAGATGCTATCTAGGGTAAGAAAAAAAATATATTATATATATAATATATATTATCAGCTAGCTAGTATCTAGGGTTAGAATCAGTAGGTCCAAGAGCACTGTGGCATGCCTATAATGTAAAATTTTTTAGTTTTAAGTCACAGCAGCAAGAGTTAATAAGAGCGGAGACAAACTTCAGAGACGCCCAGTTAATGAGTACGACAATCATATATCCAGACCTACCTTAGCCTTTAAATGCTAATTGAGAAAGGTTGAATAACACATTCACTAGAGGAGAATTAATAAAGCGATCAAAACATTAGACTCAGTTTAACTCGATCTTGTATGGCCAGTTGCCATTATTTAAATCAACTTTTTTCATCTTTCTTTTTTGTTTTGGTTTACATTATCCCAAAATACTTTCCGTTGTCAAAATTTGACTAGAGAACTATGGAATTAGTAGAATCTGAGATGAAAATACTTTATGACTTCGCCTAGATTGGACATGATGTAATCTTATTACATTGCAGTAATAGCAAATATGAATTATTGAGGAAAAAATATACATCATGCCCTCATGTGGCAGAAATATATGCATAAAAAAATATTTAAAAAAGTACCTTTAGTATGACCTCTTCTGCAGCTGTCCATGGGAGTTCTTCTCGCCTCAACTGAGGAATTGCCGGGTAAGTGCTGCAGATTGGAACAAAGTTCATCCCTTATCAATCAAAATAGCAGCACCCAAATCAACATCAGAGTATTCAAAAGACCAAGCGCATACATGAGGATGGAGAGAACATACAGTTGTCGGACATTCAAATACTTGCAACAAATTAAAGTTGATAAAAAGGCAGATCAATTATTTAACAGAAATTTGCCAATTAAGAACATATTAGTGTTTGGATGCTGGTTAGAATAGAGTGATTTACTTTAGCATAGACATGCAAGAAATAAACACCCCTATCATCTACAAATACGACAAACTCACTACTTTTTTTCTTTTCTTCTGAGTGATCTGGAGTAATTAGAAGAGGTCTTATCATTTTCTTCTTCAGAACTTTCCTCTGCATCAGCATCGGTGGACATGCAGCTTTTTGGGTTGAATCAGTAATCGGTTGTTGTAAAACTTCCTGTTGCTTTCCATCTCCAGCAAGTATCTTGGTCACATCGACAATCTCTGCGTCTCTGCAAGATGGATTATCTTCATGAAGCTTAGAACCAGAGACCGTTCATCAATCTGTTGTGTCTCCGCAAGTGTTCCATCATTTACGGTCACACCACCTTCTCGACAAGATGGATTGCATTAAAGCCTGATACTGAAGGTTCTGCTCGTTGCTTAGCTTCTACATTTTCTCTGTATTGAGAACTATTGACTTCATTTACATGGTTTCCATTGTAGTTTGTTTGATTGTTTCCATTCACGTTGTCATCTCGTCTCAACTGATTTTGCTCTGATCTAAGAGATCTCTTACAAAGTTTGTTTGCCCGATGTCCATTCTCCAATCCAATGAAAGCAGCGAGATCTTTCCTAGCTAAAGACGCCTTTTTCTTGACTTCAAAGTACTTCGAAATTGCATGAGAATATGCACAAAAAGGGCAGTAAAATTTCCCACTGTCATCAAAGCTGGGTGCAGAGCTCAAGCACCTCTAATGAACCCACTAACGGACACGTGCTTGAACTACAACCAATAGTTGACCACTTCATTACACTTCATACAAAGAGTAAGCTCTGTACAGTCAGCTGTTGCCAGGGAATCCACACTGAATGTGCCCTGAGAGTTCAAGAAAGTACGTTTCTCCATGGCAACAAAAGTCACACATTTTTTAAGTAAATTCTTAGATCACATGTACCAATTAGAATAGATGCATCCACTTTCTTGAAGCTTGCGAGAGCTTCGATGACCCAAAGCCATGGAAGGGTTGAAGAAGAAGAAGCCATGGAGAACCACATTTCAGAATTTTCCAGAGCCAATGATTTGCTTATCTTTCTTGTTTTGTCATTCCTCAGTGGGCTTCAATTGATGATATTGCCAGAAGAGGACTCAATTTTATCTTGGAATTGCAAAAGATTTAGGAAATTATTTACTAGACTACACCCTGCTTAATTTCTGCCTATATGTGGCACTGGCAAGCTCAGCCATGCTTCTACAAACTGTCTCAAAGTAGCAACAATACAACCATATATGGACATGTACGGAAAAGATATACATAAAATCAGCACAAACAAAAAAACAATTTGTGTGAAGAACCGTCAATTATCCATACGGAACTCGATATTTAAATATCTAGCCATGTAGATTCATACGTACAATCAGTGAATAATTACGAAATATTGGATATTGCAAATCTGGTGTTCAACAGAACTAAGAAATCTACACTGGAAATCTTGGTGGTGAAGTTATGAAGACTTACACTGCTAAACTTGCGGACCTAAACACATGTTGATATTGGTTGAAATTCAAAGAATTTAAATGAAACTGTTTCATACATTTGCCCTTATATTTCCGGCAATTCATTTAAATTTCAAAACACCAGAATCAAATTTAGCAAACTGATAAATTCATAGTTACATTACAATTAAAAAAGTGTAGAAGCAAAGCATTAAAAACTTAGAATCCACTAGGGACCCAATTGAATGTGTCTGAATTAGAAACTCGTCAAACAATTGTTTCCATTTTGCCTAAAACACTTTAGCTAGTGTGTACTCCAACAAAACTCTCCATTTTAACTAATTTTCAAAATAAAAAATGCTACATACACAAAATTAAAAAAGGCAACCTTTTTCATGGAATGTCATTAGGCACCTATTGCTGACGTGGCTACTGACATGGAATTTGAACAACAATCATATTTTTGTGGGGAAAAAAAATCTTCAAAAAATATGTTTTTCAAAATGAATCAAAAAAGGACATATAATAACCGATGATACACCACGAAGCAAAACAAAATACATCAAACACAGATGCACATAAAGCAAAATGCAAACACATTCATGTATATTTGATTAATTTATTGCAGGTTTGCTAGAGGAAATCATGTATTCTTTATAAAATTCTAACATTATCTCTCTAGAATAAAAGCAAATTCATGAATTGCATCACTCAAGAAAACATACAATTCAAATAACTAACATAGCAGTGATCCCAAAACAAAACCCTTCATGTCATTAACACGAAGCTAGCTATTTTAGATGATTATTATTTATTAAATTACTAGTTTTTGAGGAAAAAAAAAAAAAAGTAAAGGAAGAAGGAGGTTGAGAAAATAAATCAGCTTGTTTAGTTTGGATTTTCAAAATTCATTTTTCAGAAAATTAAATTTTTTTTGTTTTTTGTTTTTATTCAATTTTTTTAATATTCTAAGCAATTTTTTTAATTTTTAGATACACCTAACATAAATACACTTAAAAAATATATTATTTGTAAAAAAAAATCTTTAAAAAATTCATTAAATACCCAAATTACAAAATAAAACAAAAACGAGAATTCAGTATATTTATTAACTTTTTAAAATATTTTTTACAAATATTTTACTTTTTAAATACATCCAAGTAACGTGCATTACAAAATTTTAAAAATTGCTTAAAATTAAAAAAAAAATACTAAAAACAAAAAAAATACGAAAAATAAAAATTTTAATTTAAAAAAAAAATTAAAACCAAATATACTGAATATTTTTAAATATTTAGCTAGTGATTTTGGACTAGTCACATTTAACTGACAAAAATTAGAGAAGGAAAAATAATTAGCATGTGGACATTCAAAAAACAAGAATAAATAAATAACTAAACACTTAAATAAAGAGAAACCATCTCAGTATCTTATTGGAGTTGCTCGAAGTCTGTTTTACTTGAGTGATGATTATAAACATAACAAATTTATAGAAATATTATATCAGAATGATGTGGTAAATTGTGATATTTTTATTTGTAAATATAATACTCATCACTTTGGCCATAATTTATACAGATATCATTGTTACATCATATTTATAATAAATTATGTAGGAAAAAAATAATGGTAATTCAACATTTTGTTATTAATATACAGATAATTGAAAGCAAGCATGAGAACTGAGCTGAGCCGAGCTTTGCTGAGCCCTCGAGTGTTGGCATGAGTTGTATTATTCCAATTGTATTACTTCCATAAATATTTTTTTTCCTTACATAGTTTTCCCTGTCCATATCTGTATTGACTTGGTGCCTACTCCAACATCTCTTACGCCTATATAAGGCCTCTTATATATTCTCTCTAAGTAATTTTTAATTAGAATAAAATTTATTACTTCATTCTTTTGTCTTGGTATCAGAGCAAGTTCCTAACCCAGTTTAGATCTTGGTTCGCTTGCTCTAAAAACCCAATCTCCAAACAAACTCTACCTTCTACATACTCCAATCATCGTGATGGATGATAATAATCAGCAAGTTGCTATAACAACTGGTGTACTAAACTCCAATCCTGTGGTGACTATCCAGAATGATTCCTCTGCTATTCCTTTTGGGATCAAATTGAATGGTTCCAATTACACTATTTGGTCTCAGATGATGGAATTACATGCTGCCGGGCAAGGCAAGTTCGGCTACTTGACAGGTGAGACTCCTCGGGTGGACCAATCTGATCCTGGTTATGCAAAGTGGCGAAAGGAGGACGCTATTGTTAAAGGATGGTTGATGAAAACCATGGAACCTGATTTACTTGGCCTCTTTCTTGGCTTACCAACTGCGGCTGACGTTTGGGAAGGTGTTTCTCAAATGTATTATGATGGATCGGATGAATCACAGATTTACGAACTACGCTGCAAAGCCACTCGTATAAAACAAAGTGGTCGTCCGATTCCCTTGTATTTTGCTGAGCTCAAAACCGTATGGCAAGAGCTTGATAAGCGTCGCTCGATTAAAATGACTTGTGCTACGGATATAAAAGTTCGTCGGGATAAAGTTGTGAAAGATCGTATCTATGATTTTCTTGCAGGATTGGACGATGGATTTGATAAAGTTCGCAGCGATTTTTTGCGGATCCAGCCGCTTCCTGGCTTAGAGGAATCCTTTGCATATATCCGCCGTGAGGCTCAACGACAGACTATTATGCTCTCTTCTGCAGGTGCCATTGGTACTCCGTCTGTTGCCATGGTATCCAAATCCCCTGGCATCCCGACATCCCGAACTCCTCGTTTTTCTGATATTGAAAACAAAGATGATTTGCATTGTGTATTTTGCAATGGTACTCGACATACAGCCGATAATTGCTTTAAGAAACATGGGTTTCCCGACTGGTATTTGGAGCGTCGAAAGCAACTCAAAGTTGAGCGCACGACTAGACGTTCAAGCCATGCGAAGCTTACCGACACTCTGGCTGGGGTTGCAGCAGTTGCAACTACAAGACCAACCACCCCTACTGTGCAACATTCTGGTCATCTAGCACCAGGTTTGTCCCTTATTTCTGAGCTCTCTCTCTCAGAAGACTCCCAAAAAGATGCTGCTGGAAAAGCTCTAAGCTCCTCCGAGGATCGTGACACAGGTTGGATAATCGACTCGGGTGCTACCGATCACATGACTTACGTTAAATCTCTATTTCAATATGAAACTTCTCCTCGTCGAGATCGAGTAGTTACAACCAATGGTGAAACTGACCTTGTTACAGGGGCGGGTTCTATTGCTCTTACTCCTTCATTGTCCCTACATCATACCTTGCTTGTTCCAACATTATCCAATAATTTACTTTCTGTCAACCAAGTTACAGAACAATTGGATTGTATAGTATTAATGTTTCCTCTGTTTTGCTTGCTCCAGGATATCCAGACTCGGGAGATCATTGGGCGTGGTACTAAGAGAGGGGGATTATATTATGTTGATGATGTTGCAGCAGGTCGGGTTCATCAGGTGCGTGGGATAGACACTGAGAAGATGAAAAAAATTTGGCTGTGGCATCGTCGTCTTGGTCATGTGTCTTTCGGTTATTTACGCAAGTTACTACCTTTGTTATTTCATAATGTCAAGGACTCTAAATTTAAGTGCAATATTTGTATTTTAGCTAAGAGTCATCGTGTTCCTTATCCTTTGAGTTTTAATAAAAGTATGGTTCCATTTGCTTTAATACACTCTGATGTCTGGGGTCCTTCCCCTGTTACTACTTATGCTGGTATTCGATGGTTTGTTACCTTTGTGGATGATTGTACTCGTATGACTTGGTTATATGTCATGAAAAATAAAAGTGATGTTGGTCCAATTTTTCGAGTCTTTCATAAGATGATCCAAACCCAATTTTCACTCCCTAGCAAGGTGTTCCGCTCTGACAACGGCGGGGAATATATTAATTCTGAGCTGTCTCAATTTTTTCACGACATTGGCATGATCCATGAAACTAGCTGTTCTCAAACTCCCGAACAAAATGGTGTTGCGGAGCGTAAGAATCAACATATTCTTGAGGTTGCTCGTACCTTGCTCATTGGTGCTTCAGTCCCCAAACAATTTTGGGCTGATGCTGTTATCCATGCTATCTATTTGATGAATCGAATGCCTTCTCGGACTCTTGATTTTCACACTCCTCTGGAAGCTTTAGCACATCATGTACCTTTGTCATCTATATTAAATCTTACTCCGCGGATTTTTGGGTGTGTGGCGTATGTTCATCTTCATAAAAGTCAGCGGTGCAAATTGGATCCTTGCGCTATTCGATGTGTTTTTCTCGGCTTTGCTCCCCATCAAAAAGGCTACCGATGCTACCATCCTCCTACTCGGCGCTTTTATGTCACTATGGACGTGACATTCTTAGAACATGAGATGTTTTTTGATCCTACCTTGTCC